TATATATATATATATATATATATATATATATATATATATATATATATATATATATTGGATCATATAGAAAAGAAAATTTCAGAAATGTGAGAAGTGGTGAAGATACCTTTATATTGTGTGAATGTTACATTATATTTTGTGATGGTGGTGAATATTACGGACTTGCATATGTATCTTCACCATTTTCTGCATGTAAAGGGAGTCACATTCACTAGTCTTCATGCAGTATAAAGATATCTTTACATATATCATGTGAACATTACATTTTTCACATTTCTTACAAAAATGACATTTTCACGGGAACTCATATATATATATATATATATATATATATAATACAAATTAAATGTAATATTTTCAAATGTTGCAACCAATGCAATTCAATGAAATTTAACCCTAACCGTAAATCATCCCTCATTTTAAAGAGTATTTTAGTTCTTAAGTTTTTAAATATGTAATTGTCTCCAACCCCAATCACAACCACTTTATCCCCAATCATTGATTATTCAACTGTTTAGTGCAGATGAAATTGCATTAGCTACAACATTTAACAACGTTGCATTTGATGAGCCTTCTATTATGTATATATGCATAAGTTCATTTATCGTGAAAAGATAATTAAGAGCGAAGGTCAGGGAAAGGTTAGTACGTGGAGCATTTAAAAAAATATAAAACAAAAATTATGTGAATATGCATATGTGAACAAGCGCTACGTATTATTCATATAGGTTTGCAGATACATTTTCAAATGAAAATTTTTCAATAGTTCACATATGAACTTTCTCTTCTTACTTTCATATGATATTTAGCTTTTTTTTTTATTTGAACCTCCAATTATAAATATTTAGTCATAGGGTTGGGTTTCAATGAGAATGAGGGTTGAGGTGAGAAGTATAAGAACAAATCTCTACCTTTGGATGTATACTAGGATGAGATGCACCAGATCAATCCTCGTATCAAGCGTCATTTATGGGTGGGTTTGAGATTAAAAGTGATCAATGTTCCATATCACTTCTTATGCTTATCACATTAACTCTTCTTCTTACATGATCCTTCGCCTATAGTTTATATATTTATATATATCCATAAGTTCATTTAAGAAATGGTAAGTATTTGAAAAGTAGAGAAATGATCCTAGCCTTTCATTTGGTCAAGATTTGCGACATTGACTATGAAACACCAGATAATTTCTCATATGATATGCAAAGATAGAGGGTACTTTCATAACTTTTACAAATAGGCGGCAAAACAAATGCATATGTGAACCCATCTGATTCACATATGAACTATATATGTATATGTGAACCCGCCTGATTCACATATGAACTATATGTGCATATGTAAACCCGCCTGATTCACATATGAACTATATGTTTATATGTGAACCCGTCTAATTCACATATTAACTATTTAATTGATTCACATATGAATCCGTGTGATTCACGTATGAACTAATTAATTGATTTAAATATAAATCCGTGTGATTCACATTATCACATATGAACTAAGTAACTGATTCAAATATGAACTACCGGTTCAAATATACACTTGTTTATCACTTATTTGTAAATGTTATGAAATCATCCCTCTATTTTTTTGTTTGACCAGTCAAAGTCGTAATTCCTCACCAATCTTGACCATATGAAGGACCGAGACCACTTCTTTACATCTCAAATGCTTACCACTCTCAAATGAATCTCTCCCTATATATATATATATATATATATATATATATATATATATATAATGTGTGTATATATATATATATATATATATATATATATATGGAGAGAGAGAGAGAGAGAAAGATAGAAAAGGATGATCAAACAAGAATATGATCAAAATGAACAAGAGAACGCCCAAATCACATATGATTTTGTATTGAAATCACATAAGACTGCGGAAGACGTTCCACAAATGGGTKGGCAACTTGGCCCATTATCTAAGTCGCAGTCCTTGTGATTTTACACATAAGCTTAGTATAAAATCACATGTGATTTGACCATTCTCATGTTCTCTTGTTTGATCATTTTTGTCATTTGAACCCAACTCTCTCTTATATATATGTGTGTGTGTATAAAATAGGGTAAGGGGCATTCAATGGAGAACTTAGTAATTTGTGATAACCGTAAGATTCAATCTCAACCCCACATCAAATGATAAATCAGGAAGTTATTAGTAATGATAATTTTGATTAAAACTTTTTAATGAAAGAACATTTTAGTTATTTTAGAAATCTTATCTCTCCTCTCTCCTTTCTCCCCTCTCCTTTCTTCGCTAAACCTTATTTAAGCAAACACCATGGGAATACAAGATACATAATGTGATATCTAAAAAAACATTGATAATTGTTAATAAAAAAATGCATACAAATGATCCTCATATGATACCCAAGATACATACAACAAGCACATTGTGATACTCGTTGTGTACACATATAGATACCCACTGTGATACCCATTGTATACACATTGATGCTCACTTGATATTCATTGTTTACAACACGTTCACAACACTATATCCATTGTGATACCCATTGTATACACATTGATATCCACTGTGATACTCATTGTTTGTAACGTGTTCACAAAACAAAAATGTTAATTTTGGTAATACAAAATGGGAATATGGAGAGATAGAGAGAGAGTGTGTGTGTGTGTTTTGTTAAATAATTTAGCTAAAAACAAAATGAGAATATCAAATTACTAGTTTACCCTTTTAATTTATTTTAAGAAATAACATTAATTATCTTAAATGATTAACTCATATTGGATTTTATACTTATCATAAACTACCGAGTTCTCATTTAGTTAGTCCTTTAATAGTTAAAGGCTTATGTATGTATAATTTTGGGTACAAAAATTGTGGAGACCTGTTTCATATTTCACGTTGGAATATCACCCAGCGTAGCCGTACTGTTTACTATACCAAGCAAATTGAAGCTTAAAATCCCAGATTGATAAATAATTAGGATGGATTCATAACCCTGTATTCGCACCAATAGATTTTTAATGCGAGAAATGTGTCACAAACTTTTGTATAATATTTCATATAAGAGCATCTTCAGCAACTTCTATAAAATAGAGAAAAACGAAATTTTTGATTCTTTTTTTCTCTAAAAACTTCCTTAAAACTTTATCAAAAATGGAGAAAGCATGAGAGAGAAAATGCAATTTCTAGAAATTAGAGTTTTTATTTATTTTTTGCTAATAATTTACAAGTTATTATATTTATTTTGTATTTTATTAAGAAAAAAATAATTTTGATAACAGAACCATCACAGCATGGGTGGCGTCCCACCCACTTCCAGGCTATCAACTCTTGATCCTGAACCTGCAGTTGCCTACGGCTATGCTGTCGCAAATAACAATTCTCTTGATACGCCTACGGTAATTAAACTTTATTATTTTTATTAAATATGAAATTAATTAAAATAGTTATTTTGACCACATTGAACTCTTAGCTATTTCTCTGTCAAGATAACGAAAATAGCCATAAGCCTGCAATTGGCATGTCCACAATTTGCGGAAGAGTCATAGTGTAAATAAAAAGTTTCTGAACCAGATCTGCAATTGCGGGGACCAAATATGTAAGTTTGAAAAAACACGTTTGGCAACATATTTCTAGAGACCTATAACTAATTTATATATTTGGTTCCTGCAATTATGGACCTGGTTCGGAAAATTCTTTTTTTTTCTACACTTTGACATCTCCGTAAATTGCGGACCTGTCAATTACAAATCTATGGCTAATTGACTATTTTGGCTATTTTTTGAGAGAAATGACTAAGAGGTAAAACTAATCATGAAAAATGGTTATTTTAATTAATTCTCCTGATTACATTGTATTTAAGTAAATTACATATTTGGTCCATGTGGTTTGTAATTTGGTATGGGTTTATCATGTTTATCTTTATTTATTTCATGATAAACCTCCATGTATGCATTTTATTTTGAACTTGGTTACTCCTTCTAACGTCTGTTAGAAATCTTCGTTAACAGATTTAGGGTAAAACACACACACACACATACACACACACACACACATATATATATATATATATACTAGAAGGCTACTCGTGTAATGCAACGAGATAAATTTCGATTTTAATGTCTAGTTTTTATTCTTTGTCTCTATCGATATAATGCAATTTTATGTGGTTTTAAAAAAACGATAATGATTTTATTTTTAAATGAAATATAAATTTCAAATCGGTATTAGTATCAAATTAACTATTTAATAGTTCTTATTTTTTTGTGTATAACTTCTTCAATTCAATTTTTTATTATAATTTAATTTAGATTCAATAACAAAGTAATTTGTTTTTGGTTTATTTTTATTATAAAGATAATAATTAAACATTCTGTTAGATTTCAATAATTATCTTAATTGTATTTTTGCTTTTTTATATTTATAATGGATGTTTATCCTGTATTTGATGTTTATAAGCAGTTAGTTACATGAATTTTAAAATGAAGCTTTAATAAGTTGTACTTATGCAAAATTACTTGTAATATTAAATTTTAAGTAATATGCATCAATAAACAGTGATTCATGCATAAAAAATTATTTTTAAGCCAACTATATATATTTTTATATTATCATGTAAATTAATATATATATATATATATATATGTATGTTTTAAATTTGTGTTGTGTGAATTAATGTAACTTTTTTTGCAATGTAGAATTTATTAATTAAGAATTTGTCATTTTCATTTTAACAAATCTTCATTAAATATGGTTATGTTTTTGAAATTAATTAAAAAAAGTATAAAACCAGACACCACCCTTGTGGTTATGTTTTTGAAATTACGACTTCCTTCATATGGTTTGTCATTCGTTGTTGCTTTTTGTCCTTGAATATAATTTCGTCAGTGGTGTACCATTAAATATGAGTAACCAAATCAGTAATGAATGGTAAATCGTAGGGACGAAAACATCAATAAATTATAAAGTACAAGGACAAAAACCGTAATTTAAAAAATATATGGAAAAAAAACAACAATTTTCAGAAAAATGTAAATCAAATGTTGTATTTAGTTTAATTAATGATTCTTTTGAATTTAGAAACTAAAGAAGAAACAAAAGGAGTTGGAAGCTAAGGAGGCTGAATTGAACAAGAGGGAACAGGTAATTTAAAGCATATTTTTTATTTTTAAAAAAGTCAATCGTGAACTGGATATCGTTGATTTCTAGAGTAAATTATACTTTTGGTTCTTATAGTTATCACTTACTATCAACTCTCGTTTCTCTTTTAAATTAATTATAGTTTTGATCACTGTAGTTGTCACTATGTTTCAATTTTGATCATTCTGATTAACTCACGGTAAAAACCTCCGTTAACTCAGGGGCATTTAGGTCCTTTTTTATATTTTTTAAGTTTTTAATTAATAAATATACATATATATATATACACACATATGTATATATATCTCATATTTCAAAGCAAACCAGATTCACAATCAAAAGTTCAAAACCCAAATAAAAACCCTAAATCAAGAACAAAATCGAACCCAGAGGAGAGGGCAGGAGATGATGAAAATCAGCGATTAGCCCACCTCAATGATGCTGATGACAACGAGGTTCACAGTGTTTTTGTTGTGAATGTTCAGATTTCTTTTTTTACTTTCACAACATCTCGTTGTGAAGTTTTAAGTGTAAGAATATGGTCTTACTTGTCTCATGAAAACAGGTTGGTATCACGTGAATCCAACCCTATACACACACACACACACACATATATATATATATATATATAATAGAATACAATAATATTTTACTTTTTATTTCTTTGATTGAAAATAAAAGGAACAATAAAAAGACCAAAATGTCCTTGAGTTAACGGACTTTTTTTAACATAAGTTAGTGAGATGGACCAAAAGATCTAGTAACATAGTAGCAACCACTATGACCAAATCTGAAGAGACCAGAGAGACCAAAAGTGTAATTTGTGAAAACACTTTGTTTGATTATTTTCAACTAATACATGAAAAGAGACCTCTTTGTTCCAAAAAATTTATATCCATTATTGTATCCGCTATTTAATAATACAGATCTATCATTTTTAATTGAATGCAGATCCTCAGACGAAAAGAAGAAGCACTAGCCAAATGTAAGTGTGTTATTGGAACATCTCCAACAGTTTTACTATAATTTTTTAAAAAATGGAATATCAAGAGACAAAATCTTTTAAAAAATATTGCATCCAACTCAGTAAGCTACTCTATTTTAACAATTATAACATTAAGGGGTTGTTTATTTACCTCTTAATAGTTCTATTAAGAGGCAACCTCTAAACTGTTAAAATGTGAATCTTGTTTAGCAAAAAAAAAGTCTTGCCTCTTAATGGTTTCAAAACCCTCTGAATGATTTTGTATCTTGGATCTTCCTTAATCATAAGAGCCCTAATTTCATTGTATACAATTACCAAACAATTATAATTCATTTTGCACTATATCATGAGAGCCTCATAATCATTATGACCACTTAATCATTCTGCAACACATCATTCAACAATTGTCAAACAACCCATAACTATATTATTAAAATATTCAAATTTAATAAAATATTATTTCTCTTTTCTACATAAAGATTTCTCTACATTGCTTTTGGAGCACAAAACTCTATTAGTCACCGAAATTTCTGTCACGATATAGTTGGTTTTTTGGGTACTAAAAATGAGAAGTTGGAAACTCGAACTGAAGGTTTTTATAAATAAACGAAAAATCCTTTCATACAACTGTTTAGAAAACTAAAACATTAAAGTAATAACTTATGGATTTTGCATATGAAGATTTCATTTTTCTTCTTCTTTTTGTTTGGGTAGCTGGTGCTGTCATTGAAGATAAGAACTGGCCTCCATTTTATCCCATTGTTCGTCATGATATTGCTGGCGATATACCAATCCGCCTTCAACGAATACAGTATATTGCATACGCAACATTAATAGGTAAGCTAATAGCTTGATTTTTTTTTTTTGTTATAACAACACTTTGATAGAACAAGGAATCGGTATGATTGTATTACTGTTATTACAGGAGTGCCAGTTTCGCTTTTTTGGAATCTTTTAACGACTGTAGCAATATTCACAAGTGTAAAAGGTTTGCTTTTGATATCAGTAGTCATCTAAATATGATTTTGTATTGTCCTCCTCAACAAATTTTCTATCTTGATCATTTGTTCCAGCCGACGGCATTGCATTCTTCTTCTCTGCCGTCTACTTCTTGTTAGGACCCCCTGGAGCCTTTTACTTTTGGTATCGTCCACTCTATCGTGCGTTTAGGTAAGCACGTTTTCACCATAAGTATTTTTTTTTGATACATCTATACTATATTATAAAGCATCTGACAAAAACTCTTAAAAATCATTTTTTATGCATGAAGTACTGTTTATTGATGCATATTACTTAAAATTCAAATTTACAAGTAAATTGTGCGTAAGTACAACTTATTAAAGCTTCATGTTTGAATTCGTGTAACTAACTGCAGATAAACATAATTGAATAGAGAATAAATATCTCATTTTAAATATAAAAATCTAAAAAAATTAGGATAATCATTGACTTCTAACAAAATACTCGATCATTATTTTTATAAAAGATTATATTATTAAATCAAAATAAAATTTTGAATTAAAGAAATACACACATAAAAAAAAAAGAAATTTTAAATAGTTAGTTTGGTACTAAAATTAATTATTTTTTCAATTTTTTATGATATCTTTATATTTATATTTTATTCAAAAATAAAAATATTATTATTTTTTTCTCAAAACCACATAAAACAAACATCGATTGAGACAAAAAAAAAAAGAAATAAAATGAGACATTAAAATCGAGATGTATCTCGCTACATTGTGCGGGTACCCTTCTAGTTATAATAAACCATACGATTTACCAATATCCATTGGAAAATCAACTCATTGTCATCGATGGACTAAGGCCTCCCGTTAAGCCTTACAACAATGGAAACTTTCCACCCACTGACGGATTGTGGTGTAAAGACAAGCAGTTCAATACCAAATGTCTCATCCATGTTTTGATGTATGTTTCTCCAAATAAGTTTGAAGTTTTCTCGTATACAGGACTGATAACGGTACAAGTTTCGGCTGTTTTTTCTTCAACTATGCTGTGAGTATCTTGCATCTCTTCAACTTCATATTTTCACCATAACTTGTGAGTCGTAACTCAATTTTAGCTTGTGCCAACAGTATCACATTGTGTTCTTTAGCTTCGCCGCAGTTGGTCCTCGCATATTATTCGCTGGATTACACTTTGCGTGCGTTCCTCGTTCCATTTAACAACTTCATCTATTTTATTCCTTCTCTCTTTTGGCAAAAAGAAAATTAACTTAATATTTCTTGTTACAGAGGGATCTTGAATGCAATGAAACTCATCGGCCCCCATCCTGCAGTCGGGGTAAACTTGGAATTTTACTACTGTTCTCAATCCTTGACCTTTTTGTCTTTGTAGAAGAGCACTTAAATGGTTTTATTTTGTAGATTATGAGCTTCATCGGATTTGGATTCTTTGCGACTGAGGTAATTCTAAGCATATGGGTTATACAACAAGTCTACCGACAGTTTCGAGGAAGTGGTAACTCAATTTCAGTATCACTAGCACTTTGAGCCAAGAAAATATTCGAGTACCGGCTTTCATACCAGACATGACTTAGCAGCAAAAACAAGAATTGATCGATGTCCGTTTGATGCTCTATTGATTGCTTATTTTTTTTCTTTAAAACAGTATTATTATATTTCTATTTACAAAAACTTATTTTATAATTTTTTTTATGACTATTCATTACATATGTAAAAAAGACATATTTTGTCAATGGTTTATTTGTCCGAATTTGAAGAAACATATCATTATAATCGATAATCGTCAAACATCTATCTTATTACTTAAATATTTTACATGATCGATACAAAATCCTATTCTTATAAGGTATCATACTTCTATCTGTCTCGAATGTGTTCCATTAATTTCTTAAAATAACAACATTTATCAGTTATATTTGAGTAAAAAATAATTTGCTTCCGGAAGAAACCAAAGAATTTCTTGGGAATCCTACAAGATCCATTCGTTCTTTTTTCTCTGACAAATGGTCAGAACTTCATCTGAGTTTGAATCCTACTAAGAGGTCCAGATCAAAAATTGTTGAAGAAACAATAAGATATTTCTTCTCTCAGGCGATCAGAAAATACAAAAATGGTTAATCTATTAAAAGTAATGAATGGTCCAGATCCCTACTTACGCTTCTAGCAGGATCTTTCGCGATCGGTACTTTGTTTTCCTAATGTTTTTGCTTTTTAAAAAAAAATATAAAAAAGAAATAGAAAAAGATTTAAAATAGAAAAAAATTATAAAACAAAGAAAATGAAGAAACAAAGAAGTTTGTATGCCAACAAGAAGTCGTCCATTTCAAAGTTGTTGCCTTTCTACTGTCCCCTCTGTCTTCTTTCATTCACATTCTTAAACAAGCCTCCCAAATCCTAAATCTCTCCCTCATTCTTCAACCCATTAATCTTAACCCACAATTTCAAAGATCCCCCCTTTTGGTTCTTGATCGACTTCTCTTCAAATTGGCGTTGATGGCTGGTCGTTTTGATCCTAATCCGTTTGACGAAGGAGATGAAGTTAATCCCTTTGCTGTAAGTTATAAATTTCTTCGAATTAACTTGTTGGGTATCATGTAATGCTTGGTTACTGTGGTTTATTCGAGTGTGTTAGATTATTTGAAGTTCATACTGTTTATGCTTCAGGCTAGGGTTTGTTTCGTCATTTCGTTTGCTTGATTATTTTGTCAATTTTGCTTCGAGATTAACTTGGTTTGTGATTGAATAAGTTTGATTTCGTTTTTAGTTGTTTCGTTGATTTCAATTGCTGGATCTAAGTTTATTTTTCATCTGCAACTGCTTGCTTCGTTTCTACATACACGGTATATATACACACACTGGATACAAATATACATTTTATCTTTAAATGCCTGTTTATACGCATAACTATATATATATATCTATCTATCAAACGAGAACCCCTGTGATTTACGAGAACGTGAGAACAACCTAATAACCTCAAAATAAGGGAGAACACTTCATTTTACGTGAACTCTATGACACCTTTTTAGTATACCCAATCACATGTGAAACTGAATCAGAAACACTAGCCTTTGGGGTAGTAAAAATGAAGGTGTTCTCGTTGGAACTTCCACCTATTACATGTTGTAATCGTAATGTTCGGTGCTTAGGATTGATTTGTGAAGTTCATGGACTGTTAGATGCATATGTTAATTTTGGGCATCATAGAGATTTTAATAGTAATGCGGCCTTTGTTCATCCGATTAGCGAAAGTGCTGATGGCTATCATTTTACATAAAATTAAAAAGGGGAAACATAATATCATTACAAGAAATTTGCCTCAAAATAATGGGTCTATGTATTGCAACACTTTTTCGTTTTAGGCGGTCCCAAAAGAAATGCAGTGTTTCCTTTCCTTTCTTAGAAAGATTTCAATATTAGTTTTGACATTGAATTTGGTCCAAGTTCTGTTAATTTTGTCTTATTAAAGGGCATTTTAGAAGTTTAATTGTTATCAAAAGACTTCCATTAAACCACATCCCAAGTGTTGCATTTTTTTGAGGGCGAGGGAAATATGTATTGTTCCTGCATAGATGAAGTAATTGAAATTATTTGTCACACTTTTCACAAGCCGAGGGTCTTCATGGAAACAATCTGTGTGCTCTTTGGCAAGGTTTTAAAAAGCGGAATCAGGACTCGAGGCGTTTTCCTTCCACGCCTTGAGGCGTAGGCGTGGAGGCGTAAAACAAATAAAATTCATAAATATTAATAGTAAGCAAAACATAATTCCATACCAAACTTTAGACGTCACAAATTCATAAAATACTAGTTAATAAGTCTAAAAACATATCAACCTACAACTTATAGTTCCCCCTAGCATGATCAAGTTGAATAGATCCACAATCATATCCATTATCATTATCATTTTCATCTCCCAAATCCACGGAAAACTGAAAAATAATATAGAAAGCAGAAAACAGAAAATAAAAATAATACATAAAACAGAAAAACAGAAAATATACAAAAATACATACATAACACATTATATATATAGAAAATACATTATACATGATATAGAACATATATACTTGACTGAAATATCTATAATATAGTATAATACATTATACATAAACTAAAAATATGGACACAAACTAAAAAGAACTTACTTTTCGGGTTGGCCTTTGAGATGAATATCTTCTTGAGAGAGGAAAAAGTAAGAAATGCAGAAGAAAAAAATGGGGTTTGGAGAGGGTATTCTCGGTGAAGAAGAAAGGAGGAGAAGACAAAAGTAGGATTCGGAAATGGAAAGGTAACAATTGTTTTTGATTGATAAGATAAAAGTACATCCTATAACAGGCTTCTTTGTACTTCTAAATTATAAAAGTACATTTGAGTGTTTGAATTTACTTAAAAAAAATCAATCAAGGCAGCAGCAAACTGAGGCGTGCGCCTCAAAAACGCCTCACGCCTCAACGCCTCAAGGCACCGCCTCACCAGTTGAGGCTTAAGCCTCGTCCAGGAACCATGAGACGCCGCCTCATGAGCAGTTTTGGACCGCCTCGCCTCGAGGCGTACGCATCAAATGATATTGAAAACCATGCTCTTTGGATAGAGGTGGGCTCCGCATATATCTTACCCTCCCCACACCCACCTCCAGGTGGGATATGCTGGTTCGTTTGGTTTGATTTTACATGTCGCTAGAGTTTGGTTTTCGCTTGAGCTTCCCTCGATGGAAGGCATAATCGTACATGGTTATCGTTTATCTTTGTTGACCTGTGTGATGTGTCGGTCCATTTAGTTTTCTATGCGTGCGATTGTTGGTTTTGCCCTGCTCAACATTTCTATTGTTTCCATATAATCAGGATAATGGAGCTGGGGGGAAAGGAGCTGGAAAGACAAACTTTGGTGGAGGCCCCTTCTACACGACAGTAAGTCTATTGCCTCCTCATTGTCCGTATAAAAAGTTCAAAACTCAACGGCACTTCTGATACCACGTCATGAATTTTATTTTATTTTGACATTGCTGTGGTGTCATGCTTAATTGCTAGTTGTTATATACCCTCCCTGTCCCAACATTAATGTCAACATTGAAAAACATACAGTTTAAGAAATATGCAACTCTTACACTTGTTAATTAACTGAAAGACAAATTTACCCTCAATGATAGAGGCAAACACACACACACACATACACACACTCTCTCTCTCTCTGTTCATCTCAACAACCCTTAAATGTTCATGTAGGATAAAATTGGAATTTTAGTAAATTACAACTATCTATTTTAAGTGGACACTTATTTTTGGAGAAACTTAAATAGAAATGTGGATTTAATTTGGGTCTCTGGTAGTATGTGAGTTGGGTTTATATGCAATTATTTGTTCTTCATCCTGGTTATAGGTTAGAGGCTCCTTGCTAACAACATTTGTGTGCATTTTCAACCGGTTAAACAAACAATTTGATAATTCTGCAGTCTTGAATCGACTCAAAAAGCTGTATAAATGCAAAGCTCATATGAGTTACTTGGGTATGATTTCAGTGTACGTACTCATTATCTTTTTTCTTAATTTTCTCGTTCTATATTCACCATGTGCTAGTTTTTTTCCAATCTACCTGTTTGCTCATGCTCTTGCACAAGCCGGGTGTCTTCGCGGTAACAACCGTTCTACTCTTTTGGATACATGTCAGGTTTGCGTACACCTCACCGCCCAGACCCTACTTTCGAGTGAGATTTACTGGGCCAGTTTGGTCTGGTTTATATGAGTTGCTTTGCATTTGGCTTAGTTTCCATTTGGATATATCATGTATACGTATTGGTTCTAGGCTTTCCTTGTGTCGTCTTCACCAAAAATCATCATAAATTTGTACGTGTATTTCCTTTGTTTTGAGTTCTATTTGGATTTTCCTATATACTTATGTGTTATTGTGTTTTGCAGAGTGTTCCTTCAGCTGCAAACTCTAGGCTTTCACCTCTTCCCCATGAACCTGCAGATTTCTATGATCGGAGTGCCCCAGTTGACATTCCTCTCGATTCCGCTGCGGTAAGTTCAACTGTTAGATTTTTATGAGTTCATTGGTGGATGCTGAGTCTGCTTTGGATTGTACCTTGACCAAAATCTTGTTAGAAACAATTATACGACTGGATGCTAATTTTTTCTATATCATCTTTTTCGGAATATAATATGTTTGGCACCCAGGATATATAGGGACAGGGCAGAACATTAACTTTTTTCATATTTGGCACGACATTAGACTGGGACAGAACGGGACTAAGTGGGACAAATACGCATCTCTTTTGTCCCACCAAAATAGGTGGAACAAAAATTAGGGAGGGAGACAAGATTGGTAAATTACTAAACTACCCATGTCAAATTGAGAACGTAAAATCTTCCGCCTACCACACTCTTGCCTCTATTCAATTCTGTTCGCGTACTAGACACACCGTAAAAGGGGCCACACTCTATTGCTATGACATGCTATTGAATTCACAATATATAATAAGAATCCTAGAAATGATCTTGGATGCAGGCAAATTGTCAAGTCACACATACTTCAATCGTTCTATTAGTTCCTGAAATTTATATTACTGTGTATATGTGATTGTTGATCCTAACATACCCTTTACTAACTTCTTTAAGGATCTGAAGAAGAAAGAGAGAGAACTGCAAGCTAGGGAAGCTGATTTGAGGAAGAGAGAAGATGTACTTATCTTCTTTACTTTTATTTTATTACAAGTAATTACTTCTGCTTATTGATGAACAAAAAAAGCGTGTAATACTTTAATCCATGCTTTGCAGATAGTAAAACGCAAAGAAGAGGCAGCAGCACGAGGTACCATATGCTCATTATATCTTTGTTACATTAATACTCCTTTTGTTCTCTATTAGTTGTTCTTGATTGGGCATATTTACTAAGAAATAACCAATCGAAATACTATAATTCTCATTTTCAATCTTACCCTCAAACAGAAAACTAACAGTGTTGACATTTTCAACATGTAGATTTTTTGTTTTTAAATTAATGGTAGAATAACCAACTGATCCCCCTTTTTCGTTTCAGCTGGTATTGTTCTTGAGGAGAAGAATTGGCCGCCATTTTTCCCCATTATTCATCATGATATTGCAAACGAGATACCAATCCACCTACAGAAATTGCAGTATGTTGCATTCACGACGTACTTGGGTATGTGTTTATTTTCTTATTCTACATGGATGATTCACATATGCATGTATCTTTGACATGCTTATTCCTTGGTTTTATGAACACTACTAAACCAGATTAAGAAGCTGCATACACGTTTTGATTTGCTTCTAAGCAGAGTATTAAGCATCGTGCAGTCTTAAGCAACAATTAAGGGGATGAAGCACCTTTTAGAGCCATGTTTGGCAACCATAAGCTAGCTTATTTTTTGAGCTTATCGAGAAATCCCCGTTGGCTTAGCATAAGTTAACTTTTTGAAAAGCTACTTCAACTCTTCAAGTAGCGTATCGATAAGCTTCAGGGGCTTTTTCCACTTTTTTCTAATTATGCCCCTAATATGTTTCCAATTAATTTTTCAACATGTCCTTTATGTCAATTTTACATTCTCCTCTAGCTTATTAGCTAGTTTTTACTAAACATAACTAGTTTATCAGCTAGCTTAACCCCAACAACTAGTTTTTTAGCCAAAAACTAGCTTTTCATATCAGCTAGTTTGCCAAACTTAGCCTACATGGGTTAATTGGGTTATATGCGGTAAGGAAAAAGGTAAAACAACTTACATGCTTAGAGCATCTCCAACAGGTTCTCCAGAATTTCTCCAAAATGGACACTCAAAATTCAAAATCTTTAAAAATAAATTACATCAAGGCCAACGGCTTCTCCATTTTGCAGATTACTACATTAATTACATTATTAAAATATTCGTATACTTGATAAAATATTCTCTCTCATAAACATTTAATTTCAAAGTTTCTCATTGGTGGGAATACAATAAAAAATATTTGTCTCTCATGGTAATCATGTTTGGGGAGTGCTCCAAATTTGGAGAGTTTCACACTCTCTCTACTATCTCTATTTTCTCTTGAGAATCTGTTGGAGCAAATTTTTTGCTGAAAGTCTCCATTTTAGGGAATCTGTTAGAGATACTCTTAGTCCCAAATCCAGGACAAAATTCTATCCGCCAAACAGTCTAATTAGTATTCATCAATGGAGTTGGGATCCCCAGAGTATTCTGTATGCTATACAAGACAAAATTTAAATCCGTTCTAATATATTAGAGGTGATATATATCAGACTGTTGATCATTATAAAGTGGCAGTTGGAACAATAGTATCAGTGGATCCCTACAACCTTTAGGTGTGAGTTGTAGCCTCTTTAGAGACTTTAGTATATCATTTTCTTTTGACCGTTCTACAAAAGTACCAATACCTTTTAACTTTAGTACGTTTGTGTAACTTAAACAATTTTTTTTAATTGTGCATATATACACATTGTCATATATATATATACACACACACACACATATACTAGAAGGGTATCCACGCAATGCAGCGAGATACATCTTGATTTTAATGTTTCGTTTTAGTATTTGTCTCCATTGATGTTATAATACAATTTTATGTGGTTTTGAGAAAACAATAATGTTTTTATTCTTGAATAAAATAATAAATTTGAATATTTCATAAATTTTGAAAAAAAATATATCGATATTAGTATCAAATTAACTATTTAAAAGTTCTCGTTTTTTTGTGTAATTTCTTTAGTTCAATTTTTTATTATACTTTAATTTAAGTTTAATAACGAAGTAATTTATTTTTGGTTTAATAAAATAATTTTTATAAAGATAATAATTAAGTATTCTGTTGGAACTCAATGATTTTTCTAATTATATTTTAGTTTTTTTATGTTTAAAAAAAGATGTTTATCCTGTATTTAATTATGTTTATCTGCAGTTAATTACACGAATTCAAACATAGAGCTTTAGTAAGTTGTACTTTCGTATAATCTACTTGTGATCTTGAATATATGCATCAATAAACAGTACTTTATGCATAAAAATTGGTTTTAAGAGTTTTTGTCAAATACTTTATAATATAGTATAGATATATGTAACAATTAGACTGCTTAACCATCTGTGTGCTAGGTCTATTGGCTGCTTAATTTTTGGTAACGTTTTTTGAAATTCTTGATGCCAAGACTTTGCCATGCAACTTGAATTTTGAAAAATATAAGCGATGCATATAATCGTCTCTTATAATATATACTTTTATGCCGAGCAGGATTAGTTCTTTGCCTTCTTTGGAATATTATAGCCACAACAACAGCATGGATTAAAGGAGAAGGTTTGTAGCTTTTCTTCTAGCCTTTAGTCTCTCTTCTGAATCTGTTGTCGGAGAATTATTGTAATGAATTATTTTTTGTGCTACAGACCCAAAGATCTGGTTTCTTGCTCTTATCTACTTCATATCTGGGGTCCCACTTGCCTATGTGTTGTGGTACCGGCCACTTTATCGTGCTTTTAGGTAAGTTCTTCGGCTCTCAAATGTTGGGCTTAGTATATTTATAGGGAAAATTGCATACAATGCAACATAGTTTGGTGTATATGTTTGAGAGATCACATCTGAGATACCAAAATAACGGTTCTGAGAGTACGTTACACAAAATAAAAATCGGACCCAAGTACGTTACATTTTCTTGCAACTTACCCTTGTATATATGACCATGAAACATGTCTGAGTGCCTGTGGTTGTGGGGTAGCTTCTTCTGGTATTAGAAAAGGCCTCATGAAAGGAACTCTTGAATTGAAAATGTTGGATTTTGACTTAATGAGTGTTGGTACCAATCGTAAACAACCCCTGCTAAAAATTTCCGAGGCACCAGATTCAATAGTTTTCTTGTGTTTATCTCTTTGCGATCTGTGTTTTAATTTCCAAGACACATAGATGTGTGTTTGAACAATTGGTATGTGTATATGTTTATATACATGTATGTGGATGCACATGTATATATGTGTTTATGCATGCATGAAGGTGTGTAAATGTTCTTCCCAAAAAACTGTATTTGTGTATATGGTATGTATACATATGGGGATGTCTTCCTTCAATGTATTCGTACTACAATAGAATAAAGTCCTAGCATTGCCTCTTGGAATCTTCACGGAGTCAGCAACTTTACTCTTTGTTGTAGAGGCCAAGTCTGCGTACATCATACCCCCTGACCCCACCTTAGGTGGGATATACAGGGCTCATTTTGTTTGTTTTGGTTTTATATCTAACAAAGTACCTTGTCTTTAATCAGGAGTGAAAGTGCATTCAAGTTCAGTTGGTTTTTCCTATTTTACTTGGTAAGCTGTGTCATCATCGTTATGGTCTTGGATTTACCGTCACCTTCTCATCATCTTTTTCGTATTCTTTGTCATCAGGTTCACATAGCCTTCGTCATCTTTGCCGCAGTTGCTCCTCCGGTTGTCTTCAAAGGGAAGTCTCTTGCGTAAGCTCCCTCTATCCCCACTAAAATCTTCCCTACTTTACAAATTACAGATCTTTCGCACCTTTGATTTGTCTACACATTTATTTTATCTGCATTTGATGTTTCACTTATGGTTCCCCTTAAAAACAGAGGTATCCTACCGGCCGTTGATCTTGTAGGCGATCATGCTTTGGTTGGGGTAAGTTTTTTTTCTTGATGGGAAGTGTTTGATTGTCCCATGTACTATTATTTTCAAGTCGGGTATCTTTGGTACTCGTTAAAATATGTGACACCCTTTCCAATTCTCTCTAAAAGAACCCTTCAAAGAGTTGAGGAAGTTCCTATATACTCCCTCCATACCAGAATAAGTGTCCACATTTCTGTTTTAGTTTCAAAGGTAAGTGCCTACTTTCCGCTTCTACCCTTGATTATGAGAATGGAAACGTCATTACTCCCTTTATTATTAAGAGTAAAACTGCCATTTAGTTGATTAAAAAGCGTAACAATTATGCATTTCTAAAACTGCATGCTTTTTCATTGTGGACATTTTTTTTGGGATCGAGGGAGTATATTTATAGTATATACATGCTTGATGGTGTGTCGAGAGTGTATCGAGTCTCTAGGTGGTGCTTTTGATATCATGTTAGAATATGTGGAACCTCTTTGAATTCTCTCTAAAATGTCGTTATAGAGAAGGGGGAGTTTTTACATATATACAGGTTTAGTGGTTTATATCTAGCCAATAGCACTAATCACATCCATTTTATTTAGATCTTCTACTTCGTTGGATTCGGCTTGTTCTGTCTAGAATCGTTGCTCAGCATCTGGGTTATTCAGGTTCGCTTTCTCATCACTTTTTTCCATCTTAACCTCGGATTTTTTTGCAAGCCGTGCGTCTATGGGACTCCTCCCCAAATGTCACCGGTTCGAGTCCCTCCAAAGCCATTGGAGATTTTCCTGGCTGTTCTCCAGGTCCCCATGGGATTAGTCGAGCTGCATGCAAACTCACAAACTCACGGTTAACAGAAAAGAAAAGAAATACAACATCCGGAAACAGAAAACCGGTTCGAAACTTGATGTTATACATCTCTTATCTTGCAGCAAGTATACATGTATTTCCGAGGAAGTGGGCATGCTGCCGAGATGAAACGTGAAGTCGCCAGAAGCGCTGTACGAGCAGCAATATGAGCGTATCATTATAGTTTTACTTGCCCGAATACTTTTTTCAGTTTTTTTTCCGGTTTTTTGCCGATGTGAAAGATTTGGTTTTTTTCGAAAGTATAGAAGGATGGTGGTGGTTGTCTTCGTAAATCTGTTATTTGTTCACTTGGGATGGCGATTCTTGTTTATCGGCTTTCAGCATATGGCTTTTGTCACAGGCGGATTCAGAAATTTCTTTTTCAAACCCTGACACCATTTTACCATAAGAATAAATAGGTGTAGAAGTTTTTAATGAACTTAGGGGTTAGTTTGTTCTTAATAGTTTTATTAATAGGCATATTCTGAATCGTTAAAGGGTGAATCTTGTTTGGTAAAATAAAGTTTGTTTTCTAATGGTTCTAAAACCCTCTGAATGATTTTGTATTTTGGGTCAACGAAGACCTTTAGGGTGCGTTTGGTGTCCAGACATGATAGGATCGGAGAAAACAAGACAGGATAAAATAACTGTTCAGCGTTTGGTAATATAGAATTAGACAGAATAGAACAAGTAAAAGGACCAATTCATCCCTAATGGGTTGTTTATATATATATTGATTCATTTATGTAAGGGTTAAATGCATGAAATAACAACCTACTTTCATAATTTTTTTTATTATAACATTCTATTTTTGTTTTTCTTTATTACAACGATATACTTTCAAATTATTTTTTATTAAGACATCACACTTTAAAAAATTTACCCATTATAGCAATGAGTAACCTGTTACCTTTTAAACCGGTTAACCCATCGACTTGTTTTGCTTGTGTGACTTTAATGAGGTTTAATGAGGTGATGTTGATGACTTAATTAAAATAAAAATAAAAATCTATTTCAAATTATTATTAGTGATTTTCATTTTTTATTGCTATGATATTTAAAAAAAACATTTAATTTTTTTTATTAAGTTGTATGCAAATTAAATATTTTAGAGTAAAATATTTCTTAAATAAATATGATACATTATTTTCAAGATATATTTTGTTTGTAAAAATGTAACACTTCTTATTTTATGTTGTTAAAAAAAATATATCTTTTAAAGTTCTCTATAAAATGTTAACGAAATAAATTGTGTTTTACAATTTTTTAATGTTGTTATATTAATAAATAGTTCAAAAAAATCTAATTAATTTAATATATTTATACGTCAAGTAAAAGTTTTTGAATAAATATAATATATTTTTTAAAA